TTCTAATTTGTAATAGAGTTCTCTATTTACGAATGGGAAATTTAACTTTCTATGAATCTGTGAAATTTTTCAAACAGAATTAAAATTTAATTTGTTGATTTTCTTAAATTTTGATAAATAACGGCTTCTTTTGAACGAGAGGTTTTTTTACAAAATAACAGCCAAGCAATCTACTGTTCTGGCTACAAAGAACATTGCATTTTTATTGGATCAGATTTAAATGAATAAAATTAAATAAAAAAAAGTACCATTTTTTTCAATTGCAACAAAAAAGAATGAAAGTTGCCGAAAAGCTGAATTCTGAATTATTTTATCTACTAAGAATTTTTAAGGCTAAATTAAAAAATTAACACCAACTCATTGCATTTTGTTTAGGAATTCACAGAAATTGATAACTTTTAAATCGGGTTGAAATTAGTTCCGAGTTTAAATTAGCTTCAAGTTGAAATTAATTCCGAGTTGAAATTAGTTCTGAATTGAAATTACTTCCGAGTTTAAATTAGTTCTGTCACTCCATGAAAGCGTAGGTACTCATTGTCTGATGAAACATGCAAAAAGCTATCAGTGTTGCATTGAACATCCTGTAAAGACAAAAGTACGCAGGTGTAGGCTTTAAGAAAGCTTTATTCAACTGAAAATGCAAGGTTCGTATATAGTGTCCTTTTATAGTCCCAGTAAACTCAAAGAGGAGAGTAACGAAATGAGGGGAGACCACTCTTGATTATTTATAACACAACCCTTGACAAAAAAATCAACTCAATCATAAACATCTCACGAATTTCAACCTTAGAGAAATTAATGTTCAAAACAATATTTAGCTTATTTTCACTGTTTACAATGCCCGAACTGTTATCCTCAACTTTGTTCTCGTATTCACGACGTTTCGGCCATTGTACCGTCCGTCCTTCTTCAGGTGATTGGAATTTCGAACCGAACCCTCTTTTTCGTCCACTGGGGTAGATTGTTCTAGTTCCACGTACCATGCCTCTTCCCGACATCTCAGTATCAGTTATCTCCTTTTAACTCAACTCTCTAAGTTTTTGTTCACCTCTGCCTTAGCCAAGTATTGAACTCTGAGCGTCAAGTCACTGGATTGCTAACACTTTTATCCACCAGGCCATGTGTCATTGAGAACTGTTCACCTCTGCTGTAGTCAGGTATTGAACTCACTACATTTGGGGTTAAGTCACTGGATTACCAAAGTTTTTGTCCACTGGGTAATGTGCCCTGTAGATATTGCAAATTAAATTATTCTAAGTCGAACACACATTTAAATATATTTTATAGAAATAGGCACATATGTTCCCGTTCTTAGGCATTTTCATTTTTAAAATAAGGTTAAGATTAACATTACAAGATTAACATTAAGATTTCTACAATTGTTTTATTAATTTGTTATATACCGTATCTATGAACATTAATGGGTATGTCCCAATCCACATAAATACGTTGGACACTATTGTAAGTGGGTTTTAATATGCTACCTAAGCGGGAAGCTCTTGCCGTGTCGAACTCTATGTCTTTGGACAGAGAGGAACCCGGACGAGGATATGCCGAAGGGCAGAGTCTCGTCCGGGGAGGTAGACGGATACTCGATACCGCGTATGAGGGGTCCACGGGCAATTTTTGCTCGAGCCCATGAGCTTGGATTTCCCCACATTAAATTTGGCCTTGTGCCGCATCCTACCTCGTGGGGAGGCAGGTAAATATCGTAATATGCTGTCTACGCTGTCAGCGTGAGAAGCTCTTGCCGTGTCGAACTCTCTGCCTTTGAGCAGAGAGGAACCCGGACGAGGCTATGCCGAAGGGCAGAGTCTCGTCCGGGGAGGTAGACAGATACTCGATACGCGTATGAGGGGTCTATGGGCAATTTTTGCTAGAGTGCACAGGCTCGGATTTCCCCACATAAAATTTGGCATTGTGCCGCATCCAACCTCGCGGAGAGACAGGTAAATATCGTACTATGCTGTCCACCACTAGCAGTGGTCTGCGTCCTTCACGCCGCTGGCGAGTATTGTATTTTTTTGATGTTATAAAGATTACCATTTCATTTTCCAACCTCCGTTTTGGTTATTCCTCATTCAGTAACCATTTCTAGGTTACAACACATACCTAATGAGAATTTGATAAACAAACACGAAATAATGTGGATATAAAGTCGGGGATCAATCCTATATAACAATCAATATATAAACTGATCACTCATTTTGTGGCCACGGTAGTTTCTATATATTCATATTCCAGAGAATGTAAATAAATCTAAAAGACGTGTCTTCGTATTTAATCAGTATTTCATTGATTTATTCATTCATTCTCTACGGCTTATTTTTTAGATAATAATGGTTTTAGTGATGCAAGTCTTACTAATTAACCCATAGCTGGGGGGAGAAGAGATGGATTTATACTGTTATATACCGTACCTATGAACACTAATGTGTATGTCCCAATCCTCAATCATATAGACACTATTATAAGTGGGGGTAATATGCTGTATAAGTAGTTCACCAATAGCAGTGGTTTACCTATTTCACACCGCTGGCGAGTATTGTATTTTGTTGATGTTATAAAGATTGCTATTTCATTTCCAACCTTCCTTTTGGTTATTCCTCATTCAGTAACCCTTTCTAGGTTACAACATAATTAAAAGACAGACACAATTATTCACTTAGGGTTCATATAATGATATTAACAAATTGCCAATTGTTGTCAAATGAAACACATTTCAAAAAGGTCTCCACTGACTATGAAACTGTCAAAGAAAATTAACAAAGCGTGATAAAGCATATAATTGTATATCACGGCTTAGTCATTTTTTATCAAATTTATAACAAGTAACAAGAATAACTGGAGAAAAATTTTATACAAAAATTATTTTCCCATAAAATAGAAAAAGATTTCTTTTTTTTTTAAACCTTTTATCCCAAGCAAGGCGATAATGTCACTAAGACACAAGAGGCTACTGGGAGTGAAAGAGAATGTAAAAACTATAAAAGGAACTGGAAACCCAATCCTAAACATTTAACGAGGGATAAACTTTTGCTATTCAAAAAATGCGGAGGTGGTGTAATGGAAAATGGCACGAAATTGTTAATCGGAGAGCCGAGTTCGAATTTCCATTGGGTTCATGATATTCACTTACGTATCCTGGGAAAATTATGAATCCACCTCTTCTCCCCCAGCTATGGATTAATTAGTAAGACTTGTATACCTACAGCATTATTATCTCCAAAACAAAATTCTTACAGTATAAAAACATTTTCTGGCTTTAAACAGTTTTAAAAGTTTTGATAAGCCGTCGAAAACGAGTTAATCAATCAATCGCATTCCTTGATGAGATCAGAAAAGGAATCTGCAATTTTATCGGCCCTGGCCTGGCATCTCGGCTTCAGTCACTTTCCCACCGCTGAAACGTAGCTTCTCTGTGAATTTGCTAAAAAATATTTTCATGGCATTTGTTCTGATGAGCTTTCCTCTTCGGTAACACGACTACATGAAGCGCAGTACTACATTGGCAGCTAGGTCTCATCATTTAGATATGAACGAAAGTTCTATTCTTAAAGTTTTTTCATTTCCACGACTGTAGAATTCCCTTCCGGCTTCTTACTTTCCTATTAAATAACAATCTTCAAAAATTTAAATGTAACGTCAATCGTCCTCAATTGTCTTTTTTAATACATGTTTTTTATTGTCCATTCTTCTTAACAATGAATTTTCTCAGTTGCTTTCAGTCTCAGCAACTCATTGACTCTTAGTTGGTATGTCGCCTTGCTTGGGCTGAAATGATCTATATATATATAGCAATATATATATAGCAATATATATATAGCAATATATATATATATATATATATATTTATGAATAAAAATGACAATAGGAACACTGGTAATTGCTGACGCGTTTCGTCCAATGTGGACTTTATCAAAGCAAAATACGAAAATGAAATTAAGTGAATAAAGTAACTAATAAAAACAAAAACAGAATGTACCTAGCAACTGAAAGAAAATTGAAAGTTTCAATAAAAAAAAAATTAAATTCAAAATATCGCAGTTTTGCCCTTACTTTTACAACAACTCAACGGCAGAATCCAGAGTGATCAGTATAATCTAATATAAATAAATAATTATTTTCTGAGTATTTGACTAAGTTCATTCTTCGCCCAGGATATTCCTAGAGAAGACAGTAGAGAATAAACAGGATATTCCCAGCGAAGGGAATAAAGGATAAAACATGGTACTCTTATAATAATAAGAGATGAAGCAGAATATTCCTAGAAAGGGCACAAGTGGATAAAACAGGATACTCCTCGCGAAGGCAGTAAAGATTAAAGTACGATATTCTACGAGTCTAGAATAATGGGCGCAGGAAGATAATTCTATAGGAGGGAATAAAGAATAAAGAAGGATATTACTAAAGAAGGCATACTCCTCGAGAAAGCGATAAAAAAGCCTGATACTCCCAGAGAAGATAGTGGAGGATAAAGTAGGATACTCCTGGAGAATGGAATACAGGATAAACCAGGATACTCCTAGAGAAGGGAATACAAGTTAAAGCCGCATACTCCTAGAGAAGAGAATACAGGATAATCATAGAGAAAGGAGTACAGTATATAGCAGGATACTCCCAGAGAAAGGAATACAGAATAAAGGAGGATACACCTCGAGAAAGGAAAACAGGATAAAGCAGGATACTCCTAGAGAAGGGAATACAGGATAAAGGAGGATACTCTTACGGAAGGGAATACAAAGGAGGATACTCGTAGGGAGAGGAATACAGGATAAAGGGGGATAGTCTAAGGGAAAGGAATACAGAATAAAGTAAGATACGCCTAGTGAAGGGAATACATGATAATGGAGGATACGCCTGCGAAAGGGAATACAGGATAAAGGAGGATACGGCTAGGGAAGGGAATACAGGATAATGGCGGATACTCTTATGGAAGGGAATACAGGATAAAGGGGGATATTCCAATAGAAATGAATACAGGATAATGGAAGATACGCCTAGATAAGGGAATACAAGATAAAGGAGGATATGGCAAGAGTAAAAAATACAGGATAAAGGATGATACGCTTAGGGGATGGAATACAGGATAAAGGATGATACGCCTGGGGGAAACAGGATAAAGGAGGTGCGCCTAGGGAAGGATAAAGATAAAGATATTCCCAGAGAAGGGAATACAGGATAAAGCTGGATATTCCAAGAGAAGGAATACATATAAGGGAAGGGGAATATGATAAAGGATAAAGGTAAAGGAATATTCCAAGAGAAGGGAATACAGGATAAAGCTGGATCCCAAGAGAGGGAATACATATAAAGGAGGATAAGGGGAAGGGAATACAGGATAAAGGAGGGTGCGCATAGGTAAAGCAATACAGAATGGAGGAGGGGATACGCCTAGGGTAAACAGGATAAAGCTGGATATTCCAAGAGAAGGGAATACATATAAAGGAGGATAAGCCTAGGGAAGGGAATACGGGATAAAGGAGGGTGCGCATAGGTAAAGCAATACAGAATGGAGGAGGATACGCCTAGGGGTAGGGAATACAGGATAAAGCTGGATATTCCAAGAGAAGGGAATACAGAATAAATGAGGATACGCCTAGGGAAGGGAATACATGATAAAGGAGGGTGCGCCTAGGGAATGGAATACAGGATAAAGCTGGATATTCTAAGAGAAGGGAATACAGGATGGAGGAGGATACACCTAGGGAAGTGATAACGCAGGATACTTTCAGAGAATGGAATAAGGGATAAAGCAACATACTCGTAGAGAAGGCTGTAAAGTTTAAAGCAGGATACTCCTAGTGAAGCTGTATATTAAGAAAATAAAAAAATAAATAAATATTGCTTAGCGCTAGAACGGAGATTAAGTTGCGGGGAGCCATGTTTCTGGAGAGACGGCATAGAAATGATTATGAGGAAAATTTGCGAATCGAGAATTAGAGTGGTTGCATTTCGTCATGGCACATGTTTTGTTTTTTTGAGTTTTTTTTTTCTCCCTTGGGTTGGTATGTTTTGGTTACGGCGCTGGAATTTTGTCGTCAAACCTTTTAGTAATTTATTTCTTTGCTCACAACCCCAAAATTCCAACTCGCTATATATATATATATATATATATGTGTGTGTGTGTGTGTGTGTGTGTGTGTGTGTGTGTGTAAAGGCTCAAATACTAATATCCCATGGTTATAATTTATTACATTAGAATGGTAATCACGATCCAATTCATCAGACCTACAAATTCCTTCTCTTGAATTGGATCGTGATTACGATTTCAATGTAATAAATTATAACCATAGAATATTAGTGTTTCAGTCTTTTATATTAAATTCTTACTCTGTCCTGGACATTGAGTTCTACCTGGATTCTAAACTCTTGGAAATTTATACATATATATATATACACTGACCACTTATATATATATATATATATATATATATATATATTTATATATATATATGATTGAGTTTGCGACCCTGGGTTTCACGCTTTTTTGTGATCGTCAGACAAATATGTTAGCTCTATCTCTGATATTGAGCGCTTTCTAATGAGTACCGCGCATATAATATATAAATATATATATATATATATATATATATATATATATATATATATATATATTTATATACACACTTTTCACACACACATATATATATATATATCATCATTTTATCTTTGCGCAGATTAGTACTGCAGAAGGCATACTCCTCGAGAAAGCGATAAAGGGCAATGCAGGGTACTCCTAGAGAAGATACTAGTGGATAAACCAGTATACTCCTAGAGAAATGAATACGAGATAAAGTCGGAGTATTAATGAAACTTGATAAAGAAAATCTTGCGTTCAATCGATGCTTCTACATCTTTGACAACACAAAGTTGAGAGTGAGTTGAAATTTTGGCGTTGTAAGCTATAAAAATCGGTGTAAAGCACGGTTCCATATTAAAACGTCTGTGGCTAAATCAGCTCGTGCCAAAACGGGTTCATGTTTTTCCTACAGATTTCTTTCACTGGATCGCTCTTCCTCCTTTTAACTGGCAGAAAGCAGTTTTATCTGATGATGGGGTAAATACTTTTACAATTGTTTTAATTGCTTCTTTTTTTTATACGAAGTCTTCTTTCGCTTGAAACACTAGTCCTCGACTAATCTCTAAAATCAATCAACGTCGAGCTTGGTCAGCAACTAGATGAGGTCACCGCTTGGGAATAACAAGTGATATTTAGCTAACCCCCCACGCCCCCACGAGGGTTACATATGGCACAAGGCCGGGTTTAATGTAGGATCTCCGAACCCGTAGGCTCAGCCAAAAATATTCCCTCTTTGAACCCGCATAAGCGGGTTCAGGGGCAGTCAACCACCCCGAACGAGACCCTGCCCTTCGGCAGATCCTTGTCCGGGTTCCTCTCCGTTGGGAATAACAAGTTCTGTAAGTTTCGCTATGCGTCTGCTTTGATTTATAATGGCTCGTAATTAGAAAATGGAGAGCTGAAATTCGAATTTCAGTCGATTTCATTAGATTCACTTTACCATTCTTCATGTTGCTGCTAGTTACTAAAAGAGGAGAAAAAAAACTAGTACAGTTTGGGCCCGACACATCTACAGGAATTTCCAGAAAGTAGCACAATAACCTCATTCCATCCGCTTTCAGTCCTCCGAGCCTAAATTGTGTAGAGTTTAATTATTAGCGTTTGCTTTTCCTGAAGATACACACAAGGCAATATGAGTTTGAATTCGGGGTTTTCCTTTACGTAAACTGACCGCCATGTTAGGCAAAAGTTCACGTTTTACCCTGGTATTTGACGCATAGCTGGAAGAAAATAGAATCCTATATTATCCAGGGGTATTTGAGAGTATATTCGTTTAAATACAGGGCTTCTGAATACTTTGCGTCCTAGCCTATGAAATTAAAGTTGAATATTATTCTTAAGAAAGTGCCTGTTGACTTTTTTTTTTTTAAGTCCGAATACTTTGTGTTCTGTCCTCTTGAACGCATTGTGGGTATATCCGTTAAAAAGTGACAGTTCTTTATAGTTTAAAAATGGCTTCCTTCGTGAAACTGTTGTGACCAAGTAAATGGTTAAGGAATAACAAAACAAAAGGTTGCAGATAAATAGTGTATTGAACAGTAAATACAACAGAAGTGTATTACACGACTTAGAAGTGTGTGTCGTTTGACCAGCATTCAGGTTATATTACCGTTATATTTAACAGCCCCCCCCCACGAGGGTTATACGTGGCACAAGGCCGAGTTTAACGTGGGACATCCGAGCCCGTAGGCTCGGCCAAAAAATCCCAGTAGAACAAGCATAAACAGGTTCGGGCCTGTCTAGCTCCCCGGACGAAACTCTGCCCTTCGGCACAGCCTCACCCGGCTTCCTCTCTGCCAAAAGCAGAGAATTCGACAGGAGCTGCGAACAGCCTCGGTAGAACAGTCTATATCACCGTAAATATTTAACAGCCACCACCACGAGGGATGTTTGTGGCACAAGGCCGACTTTACCGTGGGTTCTCCGAGCCCGTAGGCTCGGGCAAATATATTCCCTTCGAACACGCATAAACGGGTTCAGGGCCTGTCTACCTCCCCGGACGAAACTTTACCCTTCAGCAAAGCCACGTCCGGGTTCCTCTCTGCCAAAGCAGAGAGTTTGACAGTCATGAACGGTTTAGCACCGTTATATTTAACGGTCTCCCACGTAGGTTGTATGTGGCACAAGGCCAGTTTATTGTGGGTTCTCCGAGCCCGTAGGCTCGGCCAAAAATATTACCTTTGAACTCGTATAAATCTACCTCCCCGGACGAAACCTTGCATTTCTTCAAAGATTCGTCCGTGTTCCTCTATGCAAAGCTTCGTCTGGGTTCATATGACGTGGGTCATATGTGGCACAAGGCCGGTTTATTGTGGGTGCTTCGAGCCCGTAGGCTCGGACAAAAATATTCCCTTAGAACCCGCATAAGCGGATTCGGGATCTGTCTACCTCCCCGGACGAAACCTTGCATTTCTGCAAAGCTTTGTCCAGGTTCCTCTCCGCCGAGGCGGAGATTTTGACAGCCGAACGCACTGTAACACCTTTATATTTAACGCCCCACCCACGTGGGTCGTATGTGGCACAAGGCCGGTTTATTGTGGGTTCTCCGAGCCCGTAGGCTCGGCCAAAAATATTCACTTTGAACCCGTATAAACGGGTTCAGAGCCTGTCTACCTCCATGGACGAAACTTTTCCTGTTGGCAAAGCCCCGTCCGGGTTCCTCTATGCCAAAGCAGAGATTTTGACAGTCATGAACGGCTTAGCACCGTTATATTTAACGCCCCCCACGTGAGTTGTATGTGGCACAAGGCCTGTTTATTGTGGGTTCTCCGAGCCCGTACGCTCGGCTAAAAATATACTCTTTTTGAACCCGTATAAACGGGTTCAGGGACTGTCTACTTCCCCGGACGAAACCTTGTCCTTCTGCAAAGCTTCGTCCGGGTTCCACTATGCAAAACTTTGTCCGGGTTCCACTATGATTGGGCACCGTTCCCCATGAGGCTTATCTTCCTACTATTTTATAGTAAGTGGAAGAATCCATAATAGCCTCATTGGAGGGAAGACACCACAACAGAATCAAACTCTAAAATACATTCGAAGTATATTCCTTAAAAAGTGAGTGTTGCCTAAGTTTTTTTGTTTTTTTTTAAGAACACCTCTGTATACTTTTGTTTTAACTCTGAAAAGCATTTTATGTATATCCGTTAAAACTTATTGTTGCTCGAGATTTTAGAAGAAAATGTCTGAATACTTTATGTCCTAACACCTGAAACTTATTTTAAAGCTAATTTTTACTTCTATTTTTTTTTTTTAAAAAAAAAAAAAAAGAAGAAAATCCGAATACTTTGTGTTTATCTTCTGGGTATATCCGTTTAAAACTGAGTTCTTTATGTTTTAAAAGAAAACGCCTGAATACTTCGTCTTAGCCTCTGAAATGTATTTTAAACATATCTGTTAAAAACTAAAAAAATAAAAAAATAAAAAATAACGGTCTATAACGTTACTTATTCTCAAATAAAGGCTTCATTTGATGTCGATCGCGATGTATCTCAGTTGATCTACTCAAACTTTACAAACCACTTTTGACACGTTGCAGTAGACAAATCACCTTTTCCAGAAACTGTACATATCTTCTTTTTTTTTTACTTTTTGCGTTATAATTTTCTTATCTTTCTTAGAATAAACAGAAAATCAACTAAAAAGTTTCTATATTTGCTTCCATCTTTAATTTTAGAATCAATAAATAAAATTATGAAAATTGTAACACTATTTTTTTTTAAATATAAAAATGGACACTTATATGACAGGTCCGAAAATAAAATCAAAAGCGATCTATTGGAATGGATTCGTCAAAATCAGAACCTTTAACGATAAACACAACGGACATTCTGGTCAACTGAATAAAAAAAAATGTATATGTCAGGAAAATACGTTGCTCAAGTCCATTAACTGTTATTGAACTTTCCATTGTTG